CTTTCTAGTTTTTGTACGTAAAGTTTTCATCTTTCTTGAGTTTATATCAGCACTGATACAATAAAACCTGCAGAGAGAGAGAGAGAAAGCAGAGTGGAGAGAGAAAGTATCAGATTCTTCTGACAGATTTGCTAACTGACGAGGTGATTAAGAGAGAGAGAAACAGATCAAGTCAGTTAGCCTTGTCGTCCTCATTAGACTGCTTCTTGAAAATAGAATAACTTTTTAATCATAAATGCATGTATTTATAAAGCTCTTGAGAAAAAATACAAACAAGCATTCAATTTTAGAGATAAAAAAAAATAAAAAAAAATGGCAGCTTTCGAGACAGCAATGGAGTTGTTGAGGCCCCTCGTCAACACCAAGCCTTGGGACTACTGTGTCATTTGGAAACTAGGAGATGACCCTTCAAGGTGGTACCTTCTGCTTAATAAATTGTACCTGCATAAACACCTTTCTCCTCATTTTTATCAAGTTTATTTTAGATTTTGATTATCTCTGGTTTTGCCTTTTTTTTTATTCTTTTTTTGTGGTTTTTGTTCAGATTCATCGAGTGGGGGGCTTGCTGTTGCGGCCATGGAAATGAGCCCGAGGATATTAAGATAAAAGACGATATTGACCTTGAGTCACGTTTGAGTGGCGAGTGCAGGGATAAGCTTATTAAGCATCGGATTAGAGCTAAGGCCTGCGAGAGGCTTGCCCGATTGCCATCTGTCTTCTCCTTGTATTCCGGGTAATTAATTAATCAATGGCTGGCTTATTAGTATTTCAATCCAACTATTTTTCTTCTGTTTTGTTTCATCTGATAATAATCAAGAAAGGTGTAATGAACTGATGAGTAATATATGATGTTTAATTGAGCAGTGTTCATGGTGATGTTGTGATTTCCAAACAAACAAGATGGTCAGTCCACAGTAATCCCTTCTCTGCCTCAGATGATGTAAGATTTAGCAATTTCTCATATTATGATTTCATCATCTAATCTATAAAATTCCTGCAATTATTTTTGAATTGGCTGCTCATGGACAGAGCTAACATCACCAAATATTACCTCTTATTTGATTTCTTTTGTTTATAAATCACAAGTTTCTTCACATTTGTGACACTTCATTTTTTTGGACTCAACTCTCTATGTTTATTATTGTTG